TTAGTTAGTTAGTTAGTTAGTTAGTCTACCACTAGAACTCTAACCGCTAACCTACCGGAGACCACATTAGAACCTATAAAAGATAATGTTCTGGTACTTTCTCGTCTATCATATGGTACCTTTTTATTGAACAAAAAAAATTTAATTTACAAATACCTAAAAATCTGTACTAATATTTATTGGTACTTCTCTGTTTATCAAATAGAACTTTTTGAATTTTCATTGGGAGCAAGTACTTAATATGCACGTTTACAAGTTGGGAGTTACGTAAGCATTTACTATGATTGCTTGCAAACAAATACGTACAAGGATGAGTCCACTGCGTCTATTCTTAGTTTTGAGAAACAAACATTTTTTAAAAAACAATATTCTACAAAATTTAAATGTTTGGTAGCTTAATGTATACAGCATTTGGGATAACTTCTAATCCTATTAAACAAATTTAAATGTTTTTGAATAACAATTTTAATGGTTTCTTTTGAATTATTAAATTTTAAAATTGCAAAAAATATATTAAAATGAGTTCCAGGATGATGGCAATAAATAATTCATTGCATAAATAAGTTTATCTGCCTTTTTTCACAAATTGGTGTTTTTTAAACTTTTAAACATAAAATGATGTCATGCCTCTTAAAACTCATTAAGTTTTTTTTTCATAATTATATTTTTGAAATTTGTGTATCTTATTTTTTGCTATTTAAGGAGTTTAAGGAGGAATTTTTTGTTGCACAAACATTAAATGGACACATATTTCACAAATTATGATTTAAAGGAGGACATATTATTAGTTTCCATCTATTTCAAACACGCAAGAAGCTGTTATTTTTAAAATTGATCAAAAAGCTTAAACTCAATAGAATGATTATTTATGATATTTGGACAATGTGCGTCATATTTTAAAACACTTTTTAATTACACTTTAATTTTTTTTTATTTTTAAAATTTTCAAATGTTATTTTTTTTTCCATAAAAAAATATAAGTGCACATAAAATACTTAATAAATTAAAAGAATTCTCTGTGTAGCAGCGCCATTAAATTTGCAACAATTAATGTCTATGGATCCTACAAGTTTGTGTGAATGTCTGTCTGACAGTCCATGTTTATTCATACTGGTATGAATGAGATAATTCACCCACCATAAACAATTTTTATATTATTCTTTTTTATTTTTAATTCAAAATTTTTATGGTTTTTCACACATAAATTTGGATTTTTTTCTATATATTTACATACATAGGTGAGAAAATTATGCGCAGTTTGAGGTGTTAGTAACAGTTTTTTTTTTTTTTTTTGGTAGAATTAATTTGAGACATTTGGAATTTTAATAAATTTTGTACTGCGACTCAATGGATTAAAAAAAAAACATATAAAATTGTTTTTTAACAAAAGTAGGAACAATATCCTATCTTTTGATATACAATTGACTTATTACAGGTTAAAGAGGTATATTTCTTTTTTTATTTTTTTTGGCATAAATATATAATAGGTATAACTCTCCGATCTTGAAAAAATTTATACCACATATAAAGCTTTCAATTCTATGACTTGTGATATATGTCTTTTGGTCAACAAATGTATAGTTTTGGAGTTATAGACCTTTAAAGTTAAATTTATATATATTCAATATCTCCTCTAATTATGAACCTGACAATATATGTATCGTGAGAAAGAGCTTTGAAATACCTTTTCAAAGATATATAATATGACCGCATTTATTAACCCTTTGAGAACAAATTCCACAAAAAGTATTTTTTATATAGAGTTTTTTAATGAAAGTGTCGTTATTTCATAAATCCATCGATATAATGGTACCGATAAATATCGAGAAAACAACAACAATTAACTAATATTATTCCAACTACAATATCGTCTATATTTATTAAGATATTAGTATATATCCATACATCAAATGAAAGCTTGAAATCTCTTCTGTAATTTTTCCTATATATATCAGTATCGATGGATTTACTAAATAACGGCATTTTTGTCAAAAAACTCTATATAAAAAATACTTTTTGTGGAATTGGTCTTCAAAGGATTAATAAAAAGGATCATATTATATATCGTAGAAAAGGTATTTCAGAGCTGTTTCTAATGATATACATATATATTGTCCGGATGGGTTCTTAAATAGAGAAGATATTGATAATATATATATATTTAACTTCGAAGGTCTATAACTCCATAACTATACATTTGTTGACCAAAAGACATATATCATAAATCATAGAATTAAAAGGCCTATAAGTGGTAAAATTTTTGTCAAAATTGGAGAGTTATACCCAATGTATATTAGTTCCTTTTTTTATGAAAAGTAGCGCACAACAGGCCGGATAGTGGCCTAGGTGTATTTCTTCGGATTTGATGTACTATACATCCTCCTTTCAACCTAACCTAACCTAATGTATTAGAACCATTAAGCGAGGAAAATTACATCTTCATTAAACCTAAATTATTATTTTTGCTTTTCTTATTTTTATTTTTCCGTTCATAAATTGTATCATAAAAATACGAAAAACAACTAATAATTATTTTGTGTTTATTAAGTTGAAAATAGCAAATAAAAAAGATAAATTGTATAAATATTTGTTCTAATTCAATTTATTTAAACATAAATTTACTTTTAGTTTCCTTTTCTTTTAATTTCTATATTTTCATCTTCAAGAAATTCTTCTATTTCTTAAAAACCAATAAGAAAATATGATCAAACATGGTCGACCATATAATAGTCTACTATATCTTTGAAAGTTAATACCACCTGAGTTATGAGATACAATTAAATATTTCTAAACTTTTTTGTAATACAATTAAATACATTAAAGATTTTAAACGCATTAAATATTATTATAAAAAAGTCAAACAGTTTCTAAATAAATAGTCTGATTTGTAATTAAATACGTAAAACGTTTAGGAAAATCAAAGAAAGTAAAGTTTTCCTATGATGTAAAAAAAATACCTTTTGTAACAAATATGGATAATGCATAATCATGATATCATTCTATGAGTAGGGTATTCAAAATAACATTGTTTACTTAATGTAAATATAAATATATTGATTGTTTTGGCATTTTTTCCATTTTTTGTTTGTTTTTATTAACCAGAACTAATAAATATGCTTGTAGTTAATTCTAAATGTTGTTGTAGGAAGGAAAGATGATCTCATGAGCCAATATGAAGATTATTATGAAAAAAAAATAGTATAAGAAAGAAATCAACAACAACAACTACCATAAAATCTAATTGAAAACGAATACAATATTTGTTTAATTTTTCTTTGGCGCTTATTACAGACATGGGTCACCTATAGCCGACAATAACTTAATACATAACTCTGTTTTGGATTAATAGAATTTAAATGTACTGAAAGTGAAATAGAACAGTACTAGAACCGGAATAAAACTGAACTAGAATTGAACTAGAACTGAACTAGAACAGTACTAGAACCGGAATAGAACTGAACTAGAACTGAAATAGAACTGAACAAGAACTGAACTAGAACTAGAACTGAACTAGAACTGAACTAGAACTGAACTACAACTGAACTAGAACTGAACTAGAACTGAACTAGAACTGAACTAGAACTGAACTAGAACTGAACTAGAACTGAACTAGAACTGAACTAGAACTGAACTAGAACTGAACTAGAACTGAACTAGAACTGAACTAGAACTGAACTAGAACTGAACTTGAACTGAACTGAACTGAACTAGAACTGAACTAGAACTGAACTAGAACTGAACTAGAACTGAACTAGAACTGAACTAGAACTGAACTAGAACTGAACTAGAACTGAACTAGAACTAACTGACTAGAACTGAACTAGAACTGAACTAGAACTGAACTAGAACTGAACTAGAACTGAACTAGAACTGAACTAGAACTGAACTAGAACTGAACTAGAACTGAACTAGAACTGAACTAGAACTGAACTAGAACTGAACTAGAACTGAACTAGAACTGAACTAGAACTGAACTAGAACTGAACTAGAACTGAACTAGAACTGAACTAGAACTGAACTAGAACTGAACTAGAACTGAACTAGAACTGAACTAGAACTGAACTAGAACTGAACTAGAACTGAACTAGAACTGAACTAGAACTGAACTAGAACTGAACTAGAACTGAACTAGAACTGAACTAGAACTGAACTAGAACTGAACTAGAACTGAACTAGAACTGAACTAGAACTGAACTAGAACTGAACTAGAACTGAACTAGAACTGAACTAGAACTGAACTAGAACTGAACTAGAACAGAACTAGAACTAAACTAGAACTGAACTAGAACTGAACTAGAACTGAACTAGAACTGAACTAGAACTGAACTAGAACAGAACTAGAACTGAACTAGAACTAAACTAGAAATGAACTAGAATGGACTAGAACTGAACTAGAAATGAACTAGAATGGACTAGAACTGAACTAGAATTGTTTATTAGTTTCAATATTCTAATAAAAAAATGGCCCGTTTTGTGAATTCGTCTGCACATCACCGATGTTCAGACAAACAAGTAATTCTATTAAACTATTTCTATGGGTGAATAAAAAGACCTTGTTAAATGGAATGGAATTGTATATGCCATGTACAACTTGGAGTATGTCTGTATTAATAAATGTCGATTAAAATAGTTGAACACAAATGTACATATTCGTACATGGTTTAGCAAACATTATAAAAGACGTCTAAATGTCTCGAGTGCTCATGTACTCAAACTCTTGACGTAGGAAAACAATACTCCTTCTATTAATGAAAATTTCTTGATTTACCATAAACAAATCATTGACATGTGCGGAAAACTAGGTGTATGGTTAGGAACACTCAAGTTCAAGTGTGTGGGAATAATATTAAAAACAATTATAAAACAGTATATAATTTGTAAATTAAATAAAAATTTAAAAAATATATTAAAAATGTCTATAAATTAATAAAAATTAGACCCACCTCCTTGATGGCTCATGAATTTTGATGTGATATTATTTTTTTTTTCATTAATTTCAGATATAGTATTATGCCTTATGATATCTGTGGCTGCCACCTCCATTGTATGGAGTCTATCGATACATGTTTTATCGGGTGATTTTTATAATGGTTTTATTGGTGCCAAATTAGTGTTTCGTGAGCGTGATTTAACACAAATGGAATATGCAGAACAGGAAATTTGGAAACATGATTTGGATAGAGTTTTCAATGAAACATATACCATTGAGGCCTTAGATCAAATTAAAGCTGATGCCTTAATAATGCCTAAATTAAAAGAAGATCAACGTAAGTCCATAATGTAAATATATTTCTAAAATAATGTTCACTTTGTTTAAATATTTGATACAAAATAATATTTAAGCGATTTGAAAAGGGTTTTCATAATTAAAATTTAATTTTTATAATCATTTCATCTCATTCTTAGCTTCAACTAAAAAACCAAAAATCCACAAAATTGCCCATGTATTTCAAATGACAAATTCAAAAGTACCTGATACACCGGAAATCGCAAACAACAACAATAAAGCCACGAATGACGCTGATGATGATGACGATGAAGAAACTACCACAAAAGTGCCAAAAATCTTTAATATAGAAGAAGATCGTAAATTTCTATCCCGCAGTATGTTGATTGAATTCTTATCTCTCGCAAAAATACATTTTATCACTCATAATAAATAATATTTCTATAATTTAGTGACAATTGATATTCATCAAACTCGTTGGCATCATAATGCTGCTGTTAAGTTCATTTATAGTTTTCCATTTTTTTCGGAAATTATTGCCATCATATGGACTGCCATGTGTTTTATATTCCAATCGGGTGTCAAAAAGACTTGGTGAGTATTAATGTAGTACGCTGTGTTTACAACTTGTTAAGGATTAATAATATAAAACGAGAACTGAAATGAGATATGAAAATTGATAACAATAACAATGTTAGGGCTGGAAAATGGTTAATGAAAAACATATCGCAATTACTCACGCAATAATTGTTTACTACATGTATTATTATTTGCATAAAAAGTTCATGAACATTAAACATTAAACCATTACAGTTTTAAAAGGTCAATGAACTTTGCGCTGTATGTATCATATCACGGCATTACAGATTTTATCGCAAGAGCTAAATTGTTAAGTAACTATAACTGAACTAGAACTAAACTTGAATTGAACTAGAACTGAACTAGAACTGAACTAGAACTGAACTAGAACTGAACAAGAACTGAACAAGAACTGAACTAGAACTGAACTAGAACTGAACTAGAACTGAACTAGAACTGAACTAGAACTGAACTAGAACTAGAACTGAACTAGAACTAGAACTGAACTAGAACTGAACTAGAACTAAACTAGAACTGAACTAGAACTGAACTAGAACTGAACTAGAACTGAACTAGAACTGAACTAGAACTGAACTAGAAACTGAACTAGAACTGAACTAGAACTGAACTAGAACTGAACTAGAACTGAACTAGAACTGAACTAGAACTGAACTAGAACTAAACTAGAACTGAACTAGAACTGAACTAGAACTGAACTAGAACTGAACTAGAACTGAACTAGAACTGAACTAGAACTGACTAGAACTGAACTAGAACTGAACTAGAACTGAACTAGAACTGAACTTGAACTGAACTAGAACTGAACTAGAACTGAACTAGAACTGAACTAAAACTGAACTAAAACTGAACTAGACTGAACTAGAACTGAACTAGAAACTGAACTAGAACTGAACTAGAAACTGAACTAGAACTGAAACTAGAACTGAACTAGAACTGAACTAGAACTGAACTTAGAACTGAACTAGAACTGAACTAGAACATGAACTAGAACTGAACTAGAACTGAACTAGAACTGAACTAGAACTGAACTAGAACTGAACTAGAACTGAACTAGAACTGAACTAGAACTGAACTAGAACTGAACTAGAACTGAACTAGAACTGAACTAGAACTGAACTAGAACTGAACTAGAACTGAACTAGAACTGAACTTGAACTGAACTAGAACTGAATTAGAACTGAACTAGAACTGAGCTAGAACTGAACTAGAACTGAACTAGAACTGAACTAGAACTGAACTAGAACTGAACTAGAACAGAACTAGAACCGAACTAGAACTGAACTAGAACTGAACTAGAACTGAACTAGAACTGAACTAGAACTGAACTAGAACTGAACTAGAACTGAACTAGAACTGAACTGAACTAGAACTGAACTGAACTAGAACTGAACTAGAACTGAACTAGAACTGAACTAGAACTGAACTAGAACTGAACTAGAACTGAACTAAAACTGAACTAAAACTGAACTAGAACTAAATTAGAACTGAACTAGAACTGAACTAATTATAGCTGTTTATGAACTAATATACAAGAACTTATTTTTCGTTCTTTTTTAGGGGACTTCCAAAGCCTTGGCGCATTGTTATACCCTCAATAATGATGTTTACCATAATGACTGTTGCCAATTTAAGTTATTTAATATTGGCCAATGGTTTTCTGAAAACATTCTGCAGTGATTTACGAGAAAACCTCAGTAAACCAGAGGCCATAAGGTAAATAAGAAACATTTCTATACAATTTTTCTAACTAAAATAAAAAATTATTTTTAAATTGATTCATTTTACAGTTGCGGTGATGCTATGGCCCTGTTAAGACCAGTTATACGTACGCAAGCTTTATCGCACAATACGTACTTAATACTATTTCGTATTTCATACTCTTTAGCCATGATCCTATGGATTTTTTCATTACTCATAATGCTAATGAGATTCCTATTAGCCATTGATTTCCAATTGGTGGATGTGGAAACAAATTACGATCGTGAAATGAGAGAGGGCAGATTAAAGGAACAAGAATTTGTGGAAGTACTGTTAACAGCACCGCAAAGTCCCAAAGCAGGGGCAACATTAAGTGTGCAAAATGAACGACCCAAATCGGAAGATGACTTTCAAAGTGCTAAATCTCATTTGAGTGAAGTAGCCACACCATTATTGGATCGTTTGAGCAACACAAGGGGAGAACTAAAAACTTAAATGAGAAGTTTTGTTTTTGTTTGGTTTTTTCTGTTTTATTTACTTAAAACGATATATTTCTATGAAATCTCAGGTATACAGAATCTATTACATTTACAAATATGTAAGAGAAAAAATTTAGAACAATTTTTAAATATTATTGTAAGTTTTAAAATTCCATAACTTTTGATAGTCCAAAAAAATGGAAGAGTTTTTTTTAAACAAATGAACCTGACAACCCATAAAATAAAGTATAATTGGGGAAATTTAGAGTTTGGATAATAATTTTTTAAATATTAAAATTGATCACTCTATAAATTTCCCAAAAGTGCCTACTAAACACAAAGCCAGTATACAGGGGGATTTGCGTGTGTTATGAATTGATTTATTTATAAAAAATAGGATATTGAAATTAATTAATTTTTATTCCAGCCAGTTTCACTTATGTATTTTTGAATACTAAATTTCTATTTAATCAATCTTTTTCTATCTAATGAATACATTTTCTAATACTTTACTTCATTATTTAAGAAATATTATAAACTCAATTCATCATTTGCAAAATCTCCCACAATCATTGTGAACAAATTTTTATGTTAGACCTAATTTTAGTTAATATTTTTATTTAATTTTATATTACTTTTGTACGTATTATTTTAAATTCAAATAATTTTAACTACAACGTATGTCTTTTTATAACCACTATGCCTAAAAATATACTACATATGTAATAAAAAACGTAATATTTTATAAAAGAAAAACAAACTTGTTAAAAAGTAAATGGAAGTTTTATTGTTTCTTTCAATGCATACTGATTGTGCTTCAAAATCTGAGTACAACATTCTTACCCTTGCAGTCTTCTTGATCAATCTCCTTAAACCAATTTCATGGTTATGGTTTTAGTTTCCAAATAATTATCCAAACCATCTTTGCCCAATTCACGTCCCATGCCCGATTGTTTGTAGCCGCCGAAAGGAGTTTGTGGCAAAACAGCATCGTAACAATTTATCCATACGGATCCGGCATCGACATTATTGGCAAAATGCATTGCCTTGTTTATGTCATTGGTAATGACACCTGCAGCCAAGCCGTATTTGACATTGTTAGCACGTTCAATAATTTCATCCATGGAGCTAAATTTGAAAATGGATTGAACGGGACCGAAGATCTATAGTTTGAATAGAAAATTATACAGTTTTTTAAATAATTCGAACATAAGTGAATAAGAGCTGAAAAAGAAGCAAACTGAACATGGAACTGAACTAGAAATAGAAATGTACTGAAACTTAGCTAGAACTTAACTAAATATTAACGAGAACTGAAGTAAACCTGAACTAGAACTTATAAAGAAATGTTCTTGAACTGAACTAGAACTGATCAATAACTGAACTGGAACTAGAACTGAATAAATACTGAACTAGAACTGTACTAGAACTGAACTAGAACTGAAATAGAACTGAACTAGAACTGAACTAGAACTGAACTGGACTAGAACTGAACTAGAACTGAACTAGAACTGAACTAGAACTGAACTAGAACTGAACTAGAACTGAACTAGAACTGAACTAGAACTGAACTAGAACTGAACTAGAACTGAACTAGAACTGAACTAGAACTGAACTAGAACTGAACTAGAACTGAACTAGAACTGAACTAGAACTGAACTAGAACTGAACTAGAACTGAACTAGAACTGAACTAGAACTGAACTAGAACTGAACTAGAACTGAACTAGAACTGAACTAGAACTGAACTAGAACCAGACCTGGGCGATTTCCATTAATTTTGCATTAACATTAAATTAAAAAAAATTAATTTAATGTAAAAAATATTGCATTAACATTAAATTTTTAAAATTTAATGCATTAAATTTCCATTAACATTAAATATTTTTGAATTTAATGCATTAATTTTACATTAACATTAAATATTTTTGAAATTAATGCATTAATTTTGCACTAACATTAAATATATCTGAATTTAGTGCATTAATTTTACATTAACATTAAATAAGCAATAAAATTAATGCATTAATATTCCATTAACATTAATATATATAAAAATTGATAAACATAAATAAAAATACAGCTCAAAAGACCTCGATCTAACTAAACAACTAAAATTAAATAGGTTAAAGTCCTTTCTAATAACTCCTATATTCCATTCAAACTTGTGTGTTTTAAATATGATATTTATATAAGATTCCACAGACAAAATAAACTAAAAAAGGAATATCTAGGAAGTGATATTATTCTTCTAATATGTATTATCGAGTATAGGACTTATTAGAAAGGACTTTAACAAAATAAACTAAAAATGGAATATCTGGGAAGTGATACTATTCTTCTAATATGTATTATCGAGTATAGGACTTATTAGAAAGGACTTTAACACATTCAATTTTACTTGAATTTTGTTAGACCGAGGTCTTTAGCGCTGTATTCTTATTTTTATAAATTATTTTATACATTAATGTTAATGGAAAATTAATGCATTAATTTTATTATTTATTATTTAATGTTAATGGAAAATTAATGCATTAAATTCAAAAATATTTAATGTTAATGCAAAATTAATGCATTAATTTCACAAATATTTAATGTTAATGGAAAATTAATGCATTAAATTTAAAAATATTTAATGTTAATGCAAATTTAATGCATTAAATCTACCCATGTTAATGTTAATGCAATAAACTTGCATTAACATTAATTTTTTTTAATGTAGAAAAAATTGTTAATGCATTAACACATTTAATGCATTTATCCCAGGTCTGACTAGAACTGAACTAGAACTGAACTAGAACTGAACTAGAACTGAACTAGAAATGAACTAGAACTGAACTAGAACTGAACTAGAACTAGAACTAGAACTGAACTAGAACTGAACTAGAACTGAACTAGAACTGAACTAGAACTGAACTAGAACTGAACTAGAACTGAACTAGAACTGAACTAGAACTGAACTAGAACTGAACTAGAACTGAACTAGAACTGAACTAGAACTAGAACTGAACTAGAACTGAACTAGAACTGAACTAGAACTGAACTAGAACTGAACTAGAACTAGAACTGAACTAGAACTGAACTAGAACTGAACTAGAACTGAACTAGAACTGAACTAGAACTGAACTAGAACTGAACTAGAACTGAACTAGAACTGAACTAGAACTGAACTAGAACTGAACTAGAACTGAACTAGAACTGAACTAGAACTGAACTAGAACTGAACTAGAACTGAACTAGAACTGAACTAGAACTGAACCTAGAACTGAACTAGAACTGAACTAGAACTGAACTAGAACTAGAACTGAACTAGAACTGAACTAGAACTGAACTAGAACTGAACTAGAACTGAACTAGAACTGAACTAGAACTGAACTAGAACTGAACTAGAACTGAACTAGAACTGAACTAGAACTGAACTAGAACCGAATTAGATCTGAACCAAGAAACTTACTTCTTCTTGGGCAATTTTCATATCATCTTTCACATCCGAGAAAACCGTAGGCTCAACAAAGAAGCCTACATCACCAATACGATTGCCACCACATTGTAATTTAGCGCCTTGCTGTTTACCACTTTCAATGTAGCCCAAAACTTTAGTCAACATCTCGTTATCGATTTGGGGACCTTGTAAAACCGACTTATCGAAGGGATTGCCAACTTTGCGGGCTTTAGCTTTGGCAGCAGCTTTAGCAACAAATTCATCATAAATCTTTTCGTGGACATAAGTGCGACTACCAGCGCAACAACTCTGACCATGATTGGAGAATAAGGCATCGTGGCAAATATCAACGGCCAAATCAACTACAGAGAAAATTATTAAATTTTGTATAATAATTTTAAAATATATACAAACTACCGTTAGCATCGTCGAATACAAAAATAGGACTCTTGCCACCTAATTCCAAAGAGACACGCTTCAAATTACTCTTGGCAGCAGCTTCCATAACTACACGCCCAATTTCCACCGAACCGGTAAAGGCCACCTTGCGAATTTCTGGGTGCTCAGAGATGGCAGCTCCAGCAGTGGGACCATAACCAGTAATAATATTAATAACACCAGCAGGGAAGCCAGCTTCCTTAGCCAAGGCGGCCATGTGCAAAGCGGTCAAGGGAGTTTGTTCAGCGGGCTTCATGACAATAGTGCAACCAACTGCCAAGGCAGGACCCCATTTCCAGGACAACATAAGCAAAGGATAATTCCAGGGAATAATTTGACCTACTACACCAATGGGTTCTTTTTTGGTCATCGAAATAAAACCACCAGCAGGAATAGTGTCACCAAAGAATTTATCGGTCCAGCCGGCATAGTATTTCAAGGTCATAATAGAAATTTCCACATCGAATAAGGCCTCAGCAAAAGGTTTGCCATTATCTAAACTTTCCAAACTGGCCAATAAATTCTTTTCACGGTCCATTAACTCACAAAGTCTGGGAAGGTAAATAGAAATATTGTTTTAAAAAATTTTAAAATCTAAAAAATGTAACTTACTTCATCATTAAATCGGTACGCTGCAAAGGACTCATTTTACGCCATGCCGAATTCCTATGGAAAGCTTTCTTGGCAGCCTCTACAGCCAAATCAACATCAGCCTTTTATAAATAAAAAAGACATAAGTTTAAGTAATACTTTGGTGGTGTATGTATCATTCATTATTCTTTTTTTTACCTTATCACCTTCTGCTACTTGAGCAATCACTTTTTCGGTTGCTGGGTTATAGGTGGGGAAGGTTTTGCCCGATTTAGCATCAACAAATTCATTGTTGATAAAGAGCTATAATGGTATAGACATTATGGTTAATTATGAAAATATTAAATATAATTTAAGTTTAATTTGAAATACTACAGTTAATCAAATCCGTTAGTCCAGTTAAATTAAACCAATTAAAAGGTCAATAGCTTACAGAAGAAATATAATTACCACATAATTTTATTGAATTCAAACAATTTGTTTACAACACATCCAAGGTTTATCACATTTAAAATAGATTTTTAAATGCTATCACACAAATAAAACAACATTAGTTGTGTTTAATTTAAAATTAAATTTAGATATTTAAATTTAACGAATCTTGTCAATTGTGGTTGCATGTTTTGTGTGAAATTCTATACCATTTAAAATGACATTAAATTTGTTTATTTAAATGAAAGTTTGTGTGTTTTTTTTAAGAAATCACTTGAATAAAAAAAAAACAATTTTATATTATAGTGTAAACATTAATATTAAATACTTATTATCAAATTAGCAACATTTAATAAATATTTATTTAGCTTATCATTCAATTTTGTTTAGATTAAAATTTCATTTTATTTAAAAATTAGCACTTAACACAAGAAGAATTATGCTATAGAGATAAAAATCTAAATTTAAATTTTGAAAACCAAGTTTTAATGAATCAGCAAATAAGAAAGAGTTTTTTTGTTTGTATTAGGTAGTAGTAGAGGTATCTAGCACACGCTTTTAGTCTGCATTCTAAACAAATTCACCACTATCTGCAATAATAATAATAATTACATGTGA